CTGTCTGTCTGTCTGTCTGTCTGCCTGCCTGTCTGTCTGTCTGTCTGTCTGTCTGCCTGCCTGTTAGAGACTTTATTCTCACATTGATATTTAATGAATTATACAAAAAAAATCACAACTATATATTAGAAAACTTGTTGGCCCCAAAACACCAAATGAGCTGAGTTATTAATATACTAATTAAATATATTTGTTAGTGGGAACGTTGTAACGAGACTCCCTCTCTATCTCCCCCTGTGGCTGACTCTAGTAATAGACTCTCTCATCTCTCTCTCTCCTCTCTATCTTCCCCCTGGTGGCTGACTGCAGTATAGACTCCCTCCCTCTCTCCCCCTGGTGCTGACTGCAGTATAGACACTCTCCTTCTCCTCCCCCCCCTATCTCCCCCTGTGCTGACTGCAGTAATAGACTCTCTCTCTCTCTCCCCCTGGTCTGACTTGCAGTAAGACTCTCTCTCTCTCTATCTCCCCATGGTGGCTGACTGCAGTATAGCTCTTAGTTTCTAAAAGTAAAAAAGATAAATTCCCACACACTAACTCGCAAAGCATTTATTAGCAACGTTTCAGTCGCAGACCTTTAAGACATCTTAAAAAGGGAGTGAATACACAACTGCGAACAGTCATTCATTGATGTTATTGTGTCCAATTTAAGAATAAATAAAGAATAAATACACATTTTTACACACAAAAGACTGAAAAATGCAACTTTATAGACATAAACTTACATTAATGGCGGTTAACATGGTGGACCCTGCCATCAGGGTCCTCTTATAAAGTAACGAAAACACAACAGTTCTTATTTTCAGGAGATTCTACCTTAATGAAAACTTACCTTTTATTTTATATTATATTATAATATATTATATAATAATAATAAATGACGTTAATGTTACACTCTGGAGCTTTAATGTGGACCAACATCTCCATCTTTAGGGTCTGAATCTGTTTGTGAAGTCGTCCAATCCTCTGATCACAGGACTGTTTGTGTGAGGCTCAGCGCTCTCAGCTTATATCAATACACTTCATTCTCTCGCTTATGAAACCCAAAGGTTGCCTGTAGCCAGAGGGATTGTGGGTAGCTCTGCGGCGTTCAAACTTTTAAGTCAATGTTATTATTACGGCTCCTGTTTGAGGGTTAGAGCAGACCTCAGACAGGAACTCTTCCAGGAACCTTTTTAGGAAATGAAGAACTTTTAATTCTGAAGTGGGAAAAATGAGCTGACAGGAAACTGCAGAGAACAAAGACTTCAGTGTCCTCCATGTTTGCTGTGGGACTGTTTAGTTCAGTGTATGTGTGTACAATCTTTATTGAGACGTCACAGAAACACAAACAAATCTTGTTGAGTTTAGAGATCTCTTGGATTTTAGAGCTTTCTGAGTCAAGACGTTCATGATCCCCTCCGAAAGAACTGTAATAACTTTATTGATCCTCTGACTATTCAATGACATTCCCATCAGCCTCAGCAGCACATTGTATAAACATTGTTTTTCTCTGTGGTCCAATCACAGTTGAGCAAGCCTCAGTCAACATTTTAGGCACATTTTAAGGATGGTTAAAAGATAAAAGAGACATACATATATTCACATCTTAAGTTAAAAGTTAGTTAAAATGACTGAATGAAGTCATAAAGTGCTTTTATACAGGAATGTCCAGTAATACTCACTTACATATGTGTAATTCTGGTCTCCTGTGTGGTCTATAACAGGAAATTCAGGTTAAACAGATTAAAAACAACCAACATTTTATCTTGTGAAAAGAAATGATGTACCTTAATTTGCATGTAGAGCAGGAAAAGAGGTCTGATCACTAGATGTCTTATACCCGGTGTGACCACACAGCCTCAGAGCAGACCTCAGATCAGTGTTTTCTTGCATTCATTGTCTTTGACAGTCGGCTCAGTCTTTATAAACAGCTCCCCGTCCAACTGGACTGATCCGGGCTCAGCTCTAATCTGTGATATCAGCCGGGGGGGAATGTCTGGCGTCGCTCCTCCGCCCGTATTGTGGGAAACCATCACAGAAAATAAAGGACTTCCTGCACTGATCTCTTCTATGTCACTGACTCAATTCTGGGTTCTTGTCCCAGAAACGCTGGCTGCTGATTGGTCGCTGACGTGGGACCTGAAGCATCACGGTTCAGACCAAATATTTAAAATATGAGAAAAAACAAAAATAATCTGCCTTTTCTGGAAAGTGTTTCTCACCACGTGTATATTAGCTATTAGCAGTTATTTATTTCAATTATTAGCAGTATATTAGAGTATTTTATTTAGATATTTAAATATTAAAGGCAGTATTAGCATATTATTTAGCAGTATTATTAAGTAGTATTATTAGTTAGTATTATTGCAAGTATTTTTAGCAGGTTAGCAGTATTAAGTAGTATTATTAGTAGTATTTAGCAGTATTATTTTAGTAGTATTATATCAGTATTAGCCAGTATTATAGCAGTATTATTAATCAGTATTAGCAGTATTATTAGCAGTATTATTAGCAGTATTATTTAGTCAGATTATTAGTATATTATTAGCAGTATTAGCAGTATAGCAGTATATTAGTATATTATTAGTAGTATTTAGCAGTATTATTAGCAGTATTAGCAGTATTATTAGTAGTATTATTAGTAGATGCAGTATTTTAGCAGTATATTAAGCAAGTATATTAGCAGTATTATTAGCAAGGTATTATTAGTAGTATTATTTATTAGATATTAGCAGTATTATTAGCACGTATTAGCAGTATTTATTACCTGTTGGAACTCCCGGCTTGTAGCAGGGGTAGATGATGGGGTTCAGGCAGCTTGTTGAAGTATCCCAAACCAGAAAATACTTTAAAGAAGGTTTTCAGGAAGGACGCAGGCTGCTGTTGAACGACCCTGAACACAAACAAAAAACAAACAAACAAACACACAGATAGTCCACAGACTCTGATTACAGGAAGGTTGGAAAACAGAACAGTCAGTCAGACACACAGCTGTTCATTATTCGATCTGTTCCTAGGTTTCTGCCCGTTAAAAGGCAGTTTTTCCTTGCCCCTCGTCTCCAAGGTCTTGCTCATGGTGGTACTGTTGGGGTCTCTGTAAATGTTTATAAAGGAGTTCGGTCTAGACCTGCTCTATTTGAAAAAGTGTCCTGAGATAACTTCTGGAGGACAAATAAACTGAATTGAGTTGAATTAGTAACAACTTCATCACCATGATCATTCAGTCTGATAAAGGTTGTCTGACGGTATCAGTTTGATAATGTTTTAATATTGTTGAGTATTGATTACTGATCAGAATGATTTTACATTATTGAACTGCTTTGTATGCCTGTTTTTAAGCACAAATTAAAGAACTTTGGGCAATCTCTCTCTCCTTTCTCTCTTTCCTCTCCTCTGTCCTCTCCTCTCTCCTCTTCCCCCTCTGTCTCCTCTCTGTCCTCTCCTCTCTCCTCTCCTTCTCTCTCTCCTTCTCTCTCTCCTCCCTCTCTTCCTCCCTCTCTCCTCTTTCCTCCCCTCTCTCTCTTCCTCCCCTCTGTCCTCTCCTCTCTCCTCTTCCTCCCTCTGTCCTCTCCTCTCTCCTCTGTCCTGAGGAGGCGCCAACCTGCAGGCAGTTGATCTGCAGGCATGTTGGAGGTTTTCAGAGGACTTTGGTGGATTTCATGGATCAGGTTTTTGATGGTTTTCAGATAACTCTTGAGCAGAGGGATTATTTTCTCCCACAAGGATACTTGTAAGGCATCCTGAGCCTCAGGCTGTGCTCCCTGACTATATATGAAAGAATTTGACCTCCGTCATGGGGAAGAACATGTGACATCTGACCACAATGCATCTCTGTCCTGTAAAAAAACTTCCAAGGGTGGTGATTCTCTGTGGAAACACAGAAGCTGTTCTGGGTACTAATAGAGTTCCTTCACTGCTCAGGACAGTCCAGACTTTCTTGGTGTTTTTATCTAACGTAGAGTGTGTTGTCGACTTTGTGGTTTCAGTCACACTGATGTTAAGATTACAGACAGTTAAAGACTGACATCAGCCTGTTCATTTCAGTAAATGCTCCGAAACGTTCGTCTGCAAAAGTCAAATCTTATTTTACCGCAATGCGTACCTCACCCAGTACCTCATCATACCTCACAGTAACCTCATCGTACTACAGTACCTTCATCGTACTTACAGTAACCTCATTCGTACCCTTACAGTACCTATCGTCCTTACACTGTACCCTCATCGTACCCACAGTACCGCATCGTACACTCACATTACCGCATCGTACCTCAACCATTCACGTACCTTACAGTACCTCATCGTACCTTACAGTACCTCAATCGTACCTTACAGTACCGCAATCGTATCATGTGTGTCGTACGTGTCTGTATTGGTATTCCTAATCATGTTTTTTGGTCTCGTGCGGACCTTGAAATGAACTTAAAATTGGATTCTGAACTGCGTAAGACCTTTAGGAAACAACTGTAAAGTCCTTTCTCATTCAGAAATCTTCCTCAGGAAATAAAAGCAGTCATGCAGTGGGTCCGTCCTCACTGCTGATTTACTGAGGATGCAATGCAGATCATTGACTCAGCACATACTCTGCATCACTGAGACAACTGAGCATGAAGAAAGTACAGAGATGACTTTATATTCATCACAGACACAATCACTGTCCCTAAATCACCTGTCGATTGTTTCATATCCCCTTTTGTGTCTGCGTCAGCGTTGTGTTGTCTGCCAGAAGCGTCATACATTGACGTTTATCCAGTCTGAAGCCACCATTTTTACCATCCACTGGTTTAGATCTTGGTGCTTTTTAACTCTAGATTTGAACCGGATGAAGGATTTTAGTCATCGGACGTCTAGATTCTTAAGTTATCAGAGAAACAAGCTGAGCTACGTTAGCAGCAGCTCACTCCGTCTGTTACCATGGTATCAACACCTGTGGACCTTGTTAGCTTTAGCCTCCAGTCGTTAGCTGTTATCCAGTAAAAACCA